TAATTGATATGTTACCCTCACAATGGGACTCAGGCTGATGTGATGAACTGAGAAGACACCAGCATCACTTTTATGATTTTTCCTGCCAGAAAGCAGAACTGAAATCTGAGCTATGAGAACACACCAGAGAAACCCAACAGAAGAGCACTCTAAAAAACAGCCTATTCCACGCAAATTTGGTAAGATGATAAAACACAACAAAAGCTAGACAAATAGTCCAGATAAAAGGAACTAAATATGACTTCCGAGAGAACATGGCGGAGAGATAGCAGCAGCTACAGAGGCTCTCTGAGATATCCCGCTGAGAGCCCAGGAATGGTGCAGTGCGAGGAGTCCTAAGCAGCGGGAGATGTACCCTGCTGACCCAGGAACCAACTAAGCTAAGAGAAACCAACTGGAAACGCAATCCTGGTGCTATAACAGGAACAGATAAAATCTCAGCATGGAAGCTGGAACCCACGCCACTGGAAGCCACGATTTGAATTTCCTGCTGCCACTGCTACATACCAATCGGAACAGCAGGGAGAGAGAACGCATGCGAAAGCTCTGAGAAAGGGAATCGGCGAACCAAACGGAGTTGAGAGTGGCACTGGCAGGAAGCCCTGCATCAACCTGCAGTGAGTGAGCAGAAGGGGGGCCCTTCCATTGAGTAGGAGGCTTCGGCAAAGGATATACTGGGACAGGGCAGACTAGCCGGAACAGGACGCTACAGTGACTTTAGTCACATATTCCTGTCTCAAGCGGGATTGATGGGGAGTGCCTGGCCTGGGGGATGCCGCTAAGACCCAGTAAGCTAGCCCAAACCAGATCCCAGCACCTGGAGGTGCACCCTAGCAATGAAGCCTTCAGTAGGTTGACCTGGAGGGGCGGGTCCAGCAGAGGCTGCCCAGGTCTGTGTCTCTCTAGTACACTGCAGGGGGTGGGAACACCTAGCCGGCGCAATTCAAACAAACTGTAACAGACAAAGAGAAAAAAAAACTGGGCCTCCTATACTCTCTTGTTTGAAAGGAATAAAAAGTAAGGGAAGAGGAAGCACAAGAAAGGGTCCTCAGTCCCCAATCCTGAGAACACTGATCAGGAAAGATGAATGCAAAGGAGAATGAGGAAAGAAACATGCAATATCAAACACGGTACCAATAGACATAAAGTGATATCTCCGGAGCCTCATAGACGAGTTCAAAAGCAAAGTATTTAACGAAATACAGCAAGATATAAGTAGAATAGTTAGAGAAATGCTAAGCATCGTCCAAGAAAAAACAGATGGTGGAATGGAAGAACAGAAAAAAAGGGGAGAATTGTTTGATGGAGAAAATAGAGAAAACATAGAATATGTGAAGCAGGTTCAAAGAGATTACCAGGAAACTAAAAACTCTATTAAAAGCTGGCATAACAGCCTGAAAGAAACTAAGGATAGGTTATCTGAACTGGAGGGCAGATTTGTAAGGTGGAAGCATGAAATGAAAAACTTCTTAAAAATAACAAGAAAACAAACAGCAATAATACAAAGGCTAGAAGATGATAAGAGGATCTATAACTTAAGAATTAAGAACATAAAAGAAGAAGTAGGGACATAAACAAGTGAACTACAAAAGCTATTCAGAGAAATAATCCAAGAGAATTTCCCTAATTTAGCAAAAGGTAAAGATACTCAGATGTATGAGGCATACAGGACCCCAGCCACCTACAACCCAAACAGAGCTATACCCAGGCATATAATAATCAAAATTCCAGAAATCCAATATAAGAACAGAATATTAAAAGCCATCAGAGACAAGAAACAGATCACTCACAAGGGAACACCCATTGGAATTACAGCAGATTTCTTGGCACAAACCATCAAATCACGAAGAATGTGGGGGGAAATAATTCAAGCTTTGAAAGATAATAACTTCCAGCCAAGATTGATATATCCTGCACAATTGCCCCTAGAAATTGATGGAAAAACAAGGTGCTTCCAGGATAAAGAGGAACTAGGGGAATTTGCAACCACCAATTCAACTCTACAGAGAATACTGCAGGATATTCTAAAAAAGGAAAATAAAAAGATCCCAGAAACAGTGGTGCAGAGGCCACAATGAATGGAGCAGAAAGCGAAATGAAGAAGACAAACTGACAACAAATGACAGAAAAAGATCTCAACAGAAATGAGGCAGAGAAGGTTGGATGGTAGGAACAATTATTTTGAAGAAAACAAGACATCATAATAGCTTGGGCTGATTTAACATCATCTTGTTTTGAAGTCCCATTAAGCTTTTATTCTTCTGTCTCCATTGGTCTTAACAGGTTATATCTTATTGGATTTTATTATATGTGATAATATAAGCAAAAACTTTTATAGACAAGGAGATTATACAGAAACCATTGTTCATTTTCTGATAGTTGGTTCTAAATACCCTGGAATACTGTCATTCTCTTGAATGGTTTTACATTGTCTTGAGATGTTTGGTGCTACAGTATACGAAGTTATACTCAAAGATTTCAAGGAAAAAAACACTATGGTAACTACTTTTATGTCAAGATATCTTGTGGTGAAACATTATTTTGCTTAAATGGTTATGCTTTGACCTGCGCTGTTTTGTTGTTATGCCCTCTTTTATCTCAATCTCCTTTTTTTAATTATTTACTTTTTTATTTTTATCTTTTTAATTAAGGGAAGAATAAAAATAGCAGGATACCTTATAGTAACCCACTTTGATTTCCTATTAACTTGATTTGAAACCCTGTATTGCCCTCACCATCTTGTTTTGACTGATTTTCCCCTATTCTGCTTTGCTTGATAGTACCAAGTTCAGAAGTATAGGCAACAACTGTGAAGTCAATAAGATTCATTATGACTCCCATTCTGGTTGACTGTTATCTTGTTTTAAAGTCCTGTAATGTCTCCCATGTTTTGGTTTTGTTCTGTTTTGTTCAATTTTATTATAACTGATGATATAGGCAATTCTTTTTAAGATAGCAAGATGCAGTACGGTAACCATTGTTGATCATCTTGTATTTTGTTTTTACATTATGTATTATGTCCATCCTTTTGATTTGACTGACTCTGTCCTAGTATGTCACATTTGGTTTTACTCTCTTCAAAAAAAAGTAATAAGAACTGTGGGAGTAATAAAACCCAAAATATGTAATTATTATTGTACAAAAGAGAGGAAAAGAAAGTGCTCTAAAGGATATAACTGCATATATATTTAAGTATATAAGATAGATAACCATATTACTGAGTTTTGTTGGATCACTGAACAAAACTGTTTGTAGTCTCACTGTTTGAAAGTCCACTTTATATGCTTTAATTTTGTAAGTTGAACAACTATTTCTAAGATGACAATAGGTAATCTATTAACTAGTGATTTCCTGTTTATTTTTTCTGAAATTCTTGTACCCTTTTTCTGGTTTTTTTTTTCTTTTTCCCCTTAAATAAAATTAAAAAAAAAAAAAAAAAAAAGAAAAGAACTAAATACAACATAGGACTTTAGATTTTCTCTTACAATGAAGACCTAACTGGGACAATTAAAATCCTTATGAGGTCTGTACCATTACAATGTCAACTTCCTAAGCTTGATCATTAAACTTTATTACATAACAGAAAGTGAATTCCTCATTGTGAGGAAATACACACTGACATGTTGAGGGGGTAAGGGTGAAATCAAGTCAGTAACATACTTCTAAATGACCCAGAAAGAAAAACTAAATAAAGTGTTGGAAGTGGTGAGGAAAGTGAAGGAGAGAAAAGGGATGAGGAGGGCCAAGGATCTAGCTAAGTGGTGCAGGACCTGCCTGGCAAGCTCGAGGCCCTGAATTTGAATCCCAATTTGTACCAAAAAAAAAAAAAAAAAAAAAAAAAAAAAAGAAAGAAAGAAAGAAAAGAAAACGGAAGAGAAAAGAGAAGGATAAAAACCAAGGATGCCATATGCTAAAGTTGGAGAAATTTGCATAAAGATATCTAGAGATGTTATAGTTACAACTCTTCTGAAGTCTGAAAGTAAAAAAAAACTTTAAGTCAGACTAAAGTGATACATTTGTCAATCCATGGGACCACAAACAGAGATATCTACAAGGCACTGCATATAAATCGTACTTCAATTAAAGTAATAAAAGCTGCACTGTATGTTTTATCAAATGCTAACGATTGGAACACTTCAATAATGAAAAAACAGAGGGAGAAACCCATGGAGCACGTATTTAAATGAAGATTAATTTCTTGCCAACTCTTTAAGTGCAAAGTGATAAACTAGCACTGCTAGAATGGCTGCCATTTCTGTGACCTAGATCACCCAACCCCTCTCCAGATTTCCCTGCTATTCAGGATTCTGCTCCCTTTCTGCCCAGCTAGGTAACACAATCAGCTCTACTACACTCCTTCTTAGGTCTTAATTATTCTTTAAGTCAAATACAACAGCAACAACAACCTGTGAAGATGCATATGCTATGCATTGAGAAAGTTTGACAAGTTGATAGGCCCAAAATAGCCAGCATTGTGGTGCACTCCTGTGATCCCAGCACTTGGGAGGCTGAGGCAGGAGGATCACTGCAAGTTCAAAACCAGTCTGGGCTACTAAGTGAGCCCCAGGCTAGCCTGAACTGCATAGCAAGATCCTGTCCAAAAAGACAAAAATTAAAAATAAATAAATAAAATAAAAATAAAGGAAGGCCCAGAATAGCAGCCAGTCTAGCACTTAGCTCAAGTTCCAAAGTACTTTTATTGTTGCATCTGCACAGGTGCACGTGCACATGGTGGGAGAAGAGCGAGACTGAAGTCAGAGCCTTCGTACTGAGCTACATCCCCAGCCCAGCCCTTTAATTTAGTTTGTGAGTCAGTCCTCACCAAGTCACTAAGTTGCCCAAGCTGGACTCAAGGTCGGGATCCTCCAACTCAACCCTCTAGAATGGTGTGATTAGGACGCTTGCATCATCATGCCCGGCTTTTTAAAAAGACTATTAATATCATAGCCAACAATTTTTCCAAAATACTAATAAAAGAAAATGATCCTAATGTCTCATACCTTGCTTTAGAAATACTATTAATTCCTTTACAGTTTGGTCCAAATTAACTCCATGATACACTACAGGTTTGAAATTGCGGTGCTCAAATGAACGAATGAGACGAACTGTAATGGTCACTTCTTCAGCAGCCATGTGAAGGATTGCCTGTGGCAGAAGACATAAGAACAAATTAAGTCAACTCACAGTCATTAACAAGGGACTACTCAGCAGTCCCACTCTCAGCTCTTCAGTACTTCGTTGATTTCTTCTGTACTCTATGGTTACTGATTGAGTCCCAAATGGAGGCCAGATTCTAGGGTATCCACAGGGCCTCAAGATTATGCTCCTGCAACCACAATGATCCCAGAGAGCTCTGTCACTCTCACAGATGTTGTGGCCTACAGAAAACTGACAGCGCAGAAGATGAACAGAAGACACAGACCAGTACATGCACATGTACACAGAGGAGACCAGAGCATCCAAACACAGATAAATGGAAGACACAGGATGGCTCTGGATTTTCCATGTCACTGGGTTCCTACTTAACCTTGTGATAAAAGTATATTCATATCAGAATCAACTACCAACAGGCAGCATTTTAATCTCATAACGCTGCTGGATGTCAATACTAATATATGTATCTTCCATGTATTATCCATTTTTTACATTATTGAAGCTGAATATATGTATCTCTTCCTAAAATGAGGTATTAGGCCTAGTTTGTTAATGTTATATCATTTAATTCTCTTATCAAACCATGAGGGATTATATCCATTTCAAAAGTATAGAGAGACCACATAAACTGTCCAAGGTCACAAAATTAATGAATAATAGAGCCAGGATTCAAGCATCAATTTAATTCCATGTTTCCTGAAATACTATCAGAAAATCACTATCAGAAATTGTCATGAGTGTTATCCATCGGGATGCCCATCTTCACTCATTAGATGCTCTCACTTTCTGTATTCTTAAAAACACTAGATATTGTCAGACCTCATTGTGTTACAAGTACTAAATCTCATCATTATTTTGAATTACAATTAGTAATAAGGTTGCACATCTTGTGTTTATTAGTATCACAGGTATTATTTTTCCTAATACTGTCAACCTTCCTTTTCCATGAGCTCTTCATCTATGGGTTTAACCAATTGCATATTGAGAATACTGGGGGGAAAACTGCATCTATACTAAACCTGTAGACTTTTTTTTTGTCATTATTCCCTAAATGATACAGTATAAAAACTAACTACATAGCACTTACATGTAGTTCTTAGATATTATAAATAATCTAGAGATGACTTAATGTATACAGAAGGATATGTATAAGTTACACACAAATATTATGCATTATATATAAAGAACTTCTGCATCTTTAAATTGTACTATCCATACTTACTCTTATTGTATACCACAATTAATAAAGATGCTAAGTTGAAAGTAGCATGATATACCTACTACTAGGTAGCATGATACAATATTTGTATCTTTTTAAAAAAATTTTATTTAAGGAGAAAAAAACAGAAAAATGGTACAAGTTATACAGAATTTCAGAAAAAATAAACAGTAGGAAATCACTAGTTAATAGATTACATACTGTTATCTTAGAAAAAGTTGTTCAGGTTACAAAATTAAAGCATATAGAGTGTACATTCAAACAGTGAGACTGCAAACAGTTCTGTTCAATGATCCAATAAAACTTAGTAATATGGTTACCTATCTTATACACTTAAATATATATGCAGTTATATCCTTTGGAGCACTTTCATTTCCTCTCTTTTGTACAATGACAATTATACATTTTGGGTTTTATTACTCCCACAGTTCTTATTACTTTTTTTTTGAAGAGAGTAAAACCAAATGTGACATACTAGGACAGAGTCAGTCAAATCAAAAGAATGGACATAATACATAATGTAAAAACAAAATACAAGGTGATCAACAATGGTTACTATAATGCCTCTTGCTATCTTAAAAAGAATTGCCTATATCATCAGTTATAATAAAACTGAACAAAACTGTAAGGAACAAAACCAATAAAACCAAAACATTGGAGACATTAGAAGACTTCAAAAGACGATAATAGTCAACCAGAATGGGCGTCATAATGAATCTTATTATCTTCATAGTTGTTGCCTATACTTTCGAACTTGGTACTATCAAGCAAAACAGAATAGAGGAAATCAGTCAAAACAAGATGGTGAGAGCAATACAGGGTTTCAAATCAAGTTAATAGGAAATCAAGGTGGGTTGCTATAATATATCCTGCTATTTTTATTTATTTTTCCCTTAATTAAAAGGATAAAAATGAAAAAGTAAATAATAAAAAAGGAGATTGAGATAAAAGAGGGCATAACAGAACAGCGCAGATCAAAACATAACCATTTAAGCAAAATAGTGTTTCATCACAAGATAATCCCAACATATAAGTAGTTACCATAGTGTCTTTTTCCTTGAAATCTTTGAGTATAACTTTGTATACTGTAGCATCAAATATATTAAGACAATGTAAAACCGTTCAAGAGAATGACAGTATTACAGGGTATTTAGAATCAACTAACAGAAAATGAACAATGGTTTCTGTATAAGCTCCTTGTCTATAAAAGTTTTTGCTTATATTATCACATATAATAAAATCCAATAAGATACAGCTATTATGATGTCTTGTTTTCTCCAATATAGCTGTTCCTACCATTCAACCTTCTCTGCCTCATTTCTGTTGAGCTGTTTCTGTCATTAGTTGTCAGTTTGTCTTCTTCATTTTGCTTTCTGCTCCATTCATTGTGGCCTCTCCACCACTGTTTCTGGGATCTTGGTATTTTCCTTTTTTAGAATATGCTGCAGTATTCTCTGTAGAGTTGAATTGGTGGTTGCAAATTCCCCTAGTTCCTCTTTATCCTGGAAGCACCTTGTTTTTCCATCAACTTCTAAGGACAGTTGTGCAGGATATGTCAATCTTGGCTGGAGGTTATTATCTTTCAAAGCTTGAATTATTTCCCCCCATGCTCTTCGTGATTTGATGGTTTGTGCCGAGAAGTCTGCTGTAATTCTGATGGGTGTTCCCTTGTAAGTGGTCTGTTTCTTGTCTCTTACAGCTTTTAATATTCTGTTCTTATACTGGATTTCTGGAATTTTGATTATTATATGCCTAGATATAGCTCTGTTTGGGTTGTAGGTGGCTGGGGTCCTGTATGCCTTATATATCTGAGTATCTTTACCTTTTGCTAAATTAGGGAAATTCTCCTGGATTATTTCTCTGAATAGCTTTTGTTTGTGTCCCTACTTCTTCTTTTATGTTCTTAATTCTTAAGTTATAGATCCTCTTATCATCTTCTAGCCTTTGTATTATTGCTGTTTGTTTTCTTGTTGTTTTTAAGAAGTTTTTCATTTCATGCTTCCACCTTACAAATCTGCCCTCCAGTTCAGATAATCTATCCTTAGTTTCTTTCAAGCTGTTATGCCAGCTTTCAATAGAGTTTTTAGTTTCCTGGTAATCTCTTTGAACCTGCTTCATGTATTCTATGTTTTCTCTATTTTCTCCATCAAACAATTCTCCCCTTTTTTCCTGTTCATCCATTCCATCATCTGTTTTTTCTTGGGCGATGCTTAGCATTTCTCTAACTATTCTACTTATTTCTTGCTTTATTTCATTAAATACTTTAATTTTGAACTTGTCTATGAGGCTCGGGAGATATCGCTTTATGTCTGTTGGTGCCCTGTCTGATATTGCATGTTTTCTGTGTTCATTCTCCTTTGCATTTACCTTTCCTAGATCAGTGTTCTCAGGTTTGGGAACTGATAACCCTTTCTTATTGCTCCCTCTTCCCATACTTTTTTGTTCCTTCCATACAAGTGTATATAGGAGGCCCAGTTTTTTTTTCTCTTTGTCTGTTACAGTTTGTTTGAATCCGTCAGCTAGGTGTTCCCCACCACTACAGTGTACTAGGGAGACACAGACCTGGGCAGCCTCTGCTGGGCCCGCCCCTCCAGGTCAGTCAACCTACTGAAGGCTTCTCTGCTAGGGTATACCTCCAGGTGCTGGGACCTGGTTTGGGCTAGCCTACTGGATCTTAGTCCATGGTGTCACCAGGTCAAATGCTCCTCACCAATCCCGCTTGAGAGGGGAATATGCGACTAAAGTCACTGCAGCGTCCTGTTCCAGCTAGTCTGCCCGATCCAAGAATTTCCTCTGTTGGAGCCTCCTAGTCTATGAAAGGGTCCCATTCCTCTCACTCACTGCAGGTCGATGCAGGGCTCCCTGCCAGTCCTGCTCTCAACTCCGTTTGGTTTGCTGATTCCCGCTCTCAGAGGTTTCGCATCTCTCTCCTTGCTGTGCCAATTGGGACACAGCAGCAGCAGTGGGAAATTCAAATCGTGGCTTCCAGAGGCACGGGTTCCAGCTTCCGCAATGAGATTTTATCTGTTCCTGTTATAGAATCAGGATTGCATTTCCAGTTGGTTTCTCTCAGCTTAGTTTGTTCTTGGGTTGGCAGGTTATATCTCCCCTTGCTTAGGACTCCTCACATCGCACCATTCCTGGATTCTAAGCTGGCAATCTTAGAGAGCCTCTGTGGCTGCTGTTATCTGTCCACCATGTTCTCCCGGAATTCAATATTTGTATCTTTAAAACATAGGCAACTATGCAGATTTTTGAAAGTTATACTTAAAATATTTTGCTAAGTTTCAAAGAATATATAGCATATTATGTACATCAGTAAAGGGTCCAACTATTTAAATATATAAAAATACTTAGTAATTATAAGTAAAATATTATTGATAATTAAATGAGTAGTTCTAAAAGACCTGAAAAAAGATTTTCCCCAAAAATAATGATTTATCCTATAAGCTTGTATAGAGGTTTATAAGCTTAATAGTGGTCCTCAGAAAATGTGACCCTGGAATCTACCAAATAATGCAGTTCAGTGAACATCTATAATAACTTAAAACATGTTCACGTACTTAATGGAGAATAGCTCCTGAGAATGAAGCACTGTATTATAAAAGCCTGGGCTATGTCAACAGTATCAACAGGTTTGCTACAGCTAGGACTACTTCTGCCTCCACTCACCCCCAGATTACACTCACATGCTAATCCCTACAAGTAACCCCCCCCCATACACACACACACACCCTGGGAAACTTAAAATACAGTCCAAGGCTCCAAAGAG